CCTTTGATATCGTCACAAACGTATGGCGTATTCTTTTCGAATCCCTTTCGTTGACCAAACAAGAGCCCCCGGCGAATGTTGAACAAGCAACTTTTATTACTACTTCCGTTACATTTGACTAGCTGAGCAATGTCGTTGACTGTTTGTTCAGTCCTTTTCTGCTCGTGCAGCACTGTTCATCCTCATCCATGGAGTCGGCTGCCTTTGTGAAATGTGCCCAGCCCCTCCGATTGCCAGTTCTACCCCTGTAGGGCTTCCAAATGTCGTTTCTTGGTCTTCCATCTCTTCTGTTCTAGGTTCAGCATCTTCCGTTATCGGCTGACACACACTTGATCTAACTACTAGAAAGATCTGGTCTAGCTGCAGCCTCACCCTCAGCCCATCGCCGATCGCCTTTCGGGTTGCGCCCCCGCATTCGACTCCCATTCGGGACCATTTTCACGCTTCCGCTACGTACGAATATTAATTACAGTGGCCAGCCGATGAACAGATTACTGCTCCAATCCTTCCAGTCCGGTACCAATCGAATTCCCGATCTCGGTGGGATAGAAAACTCAGTTAGCCTGAGCTGATGTTATTTCGAGAATCGATCTCCAAACCGTGCATATGTAGCGCTATTCAACACTAAACGCCTCCGCCGTGTTTTTCTTAATACTGAGTGATAACAGTGATAATTGAGTGACTTCTTTTCGATATCATTACATAATAGAATTTGGATAATTGCATTCCCCGTTAGCAGTCGGCATTACATGGCTTAATAGCCTCTTCTATGCGATGACAAATTGAATTATTTAATTCTCTGTAAATTTTAATAGATAAATGGAGTTATTGAATTCTGTGTTCAACTGACTGCCTAAAAAAATGGGATTATTAGAGATTCATATCGAGCTGTAACACCATTTCGCAACGTCATTGTTCGACGTTACTGTTCCCCAACCCCATTTCAAGCCTATTTCCGCTTGCTAATGAAAAAAATTAAAATTTTAATTCAAAACCGTAATAACGATCATATCAAATTATGAAAAACTACTCTAATTTTCAAACTTATTCAATGTTTTTTCGCATGGTTTTTGAGCAGGAAAGCAATGTTTTGGTCATTTTTATGAAAATAATGAGCAAGTGGATGTATACTGTTAGGATTGTCATGATAACCATGCGGTACTTCTTCCATTTCACCATAATTGTACGTGTATCGGTTCGAGTAGCTCTATTCTCCTTCAGGACCCGGCCAGTAAACGACCGTTACCAATCATACCTCCCATGCAGAATAACATGATCACACATCAACAACTAATGCAACAAGCGGCTTTACAAGGTGAGTGAGAACAGATTGGATGTTACTTGAGTTTTTGGGAGTTACTTCATCCCTAATCGACTACTTTTCAGCCGCGATGCAAGCACGTACCTTACCGACAACGATGCAAAATTCATACTTGCCTGCAGCACCTCATCTACGCCCACTTGACAATGCAGCAGCTCAGCAACCACTTCGTCCACTCGACGCTCCGCCACAACTACGACCAATTGAAGGAGCACAACAGATCCGTCAGATGGATCAGAATGCAGCTGCAGCTGCTGCGTACAGTAATGCTGCTGCAGCCGCTGCACAGCAATTCCGAGCACACGATCAGGCAATGGCTCAGCAACTTCAACGACAGCTACCACCTCAAATGCTGCAAAACCAGGTACTGAAACCCTACTAGAACGGCTCCTAGTTGGAAACGGTAGGAAATTTTTTTCAGGCATTGCAAATGCGAAATCAGCAAATGACAGTTCAAGAATACCACAATCTCTTGCGATTAGCTCAACCTGCTGGATTGCCACAACGGCGACAAACGATTCCTGGAAACAGTATAAGCCCTCAAGTAGGTTCATTTGTCGATTCGAAACGTATTTATGGTACTATGGCTTTTTTAAAGGCGATATAACATTCAGCGAAAGAATTAGCGAAAATTTATCTAAGCGAAACATGTGTTATGATATTGGTGATGATGATGATGTGACTACTTCTCCTTTCAGATGTCCTCCACGGTACCTCGTCTACAACGTACGGCGACAACAATGGCTCCACCATTTACGTCATCTCTGCAATTTCCCCATCAAATGAATCCAACGTTAGCTGCACCGGCAACATCTCTCGCCATGCCGATTCCACTTCAGCAACAGAGCCTATTCGCCCAACAACTGATGTCAAACGCGATGCGCGCAAATCCTAGCATAGCCCCACATCCTGTTCCCATGGTCCCAGCCCAATCACAAACGGCGCCCAGCAATTCCGCTTTGTCAACACCACCAACCAACTCGACCAGTGGAGGAGCTCTTGGTGGCGGTATAGAGGACGCAGAGTTCCTGGCATTTTTGGAAAATGTGCGTCAAATCGAGGCGCATTTAACGCGTACGTTGGCTGAAAGCATACAGCGGTCAACGACAACACAGCAGCAAAGTCAGTAAAGAACTGTACTGTGATACCGCTTTGTCCGGAACATGACCTTCTCAAATAATGGGCAGGAGAAGAAAGTTCTGGATCTGTGCTTTCAAAAACGTTATGGGAGACCAATTTTCGACATGCAAACTTCTTTTTAGAAACGCTTCTGTAATTATCTGACAATGCACTTTGAAGTGGTAATTGTCGGAAGTAAGATGAGAGTATGTTGCATGCCAGTATATAGTCGGCGCCATTGAAGCACGCGTGCAACTGTGTGAGTGCACGTGAGTGTGTGTCTATGCAACCAATCGATAACCATGCTGTCGACGCTTTGATCTCCTCTGTGATCTCAGCCAAACGGTTATATATCATTTTGGTTAGCTTGTGTTTATCGAATTATATAAATGTCCTTGTTCACATTCTCTTTCTCTATGTTGTCGTTTATTTGTTATCAGTGGCGATTTTGTTTACATGATTGTTCATCTGTAAATCTCCACTCCATCGATATCAACCATCACCGGCCCCTTTTGTTCTTCCGGCCTCTTATTACCCCGTTTCGGTTTCTTTTGCGTACGCATTGCGAACGCGTCGCTTACCCATCGAATTAATTGACCTCTGCGAGTGACTTTCCGGTTGATACGTGATTTCTGACAACCCACTGATGCTCTTCTTTACAAATGTAAATATTTTAGAGTATCCGTTCTGTTGATGGCGATAACGGCGATGTTTTCGTTGATTTGTTTTGATAAAGGGTTTATATTTAATCAAAGCAAGATGTGTTGTTCGAGTTGTTCGGGTGTTATGTGAAAACAAAAATCGCTTCTTGCAAGCAAATGTGATCCTGACTTGGTGGTATGAAAACATGCCGAGTGCTGGTTTTCGGACCCTTCAACAGCTAGTAGTACATCTTCTTCTTTATCGAAAGTTATTATTATTATTGTTATTATTATTGGTGGGGGCCGAGCATTCCATCCTTCGGGATCGGGTTATTTATTTATTTATTTCTGCGCCAAAATGACGCGCTATCACATACCGAGTAGGACGCATAAGCACCAAGTAAACGCAGGCCAAATCTCAAGTCAATAAATGGACAAGAGGACGGTTGACTGGTACCAGATCCGTTTAAGAGGCCGAAAGCACTGACACGTGAATCGGCTGGCCACAGCAACTTGTTGTATAAGCCACACACACATTCAAAACTACAATTCTGAATGAACTTGAATGCAGATTGAGCAACTCCCGAAGGCTTTATCTTTATCATTATAGTTATTATTGCTTACTATTATTGTTACAATTATGCTATTATTATTGTTATTATTACTATTATACAAGAGTGTTAAACATGAGGGGAACGGGCAGGGGAATATTACTCTAATTCATGGGCCTTCCCTTAGGTCAGCGGCTAACATCGGTTTTTGTTAAAGCTTTGTGGGGAGAAATGGAGAGACGGTTCAAAGACGTTTTTCTTCAATCTATTGTTGCGTACCGATAACCACTTCGTCACCATATCAACTCATTGATAAATGAGTGTCTCGAAATCATGAATTAACAGCCCTAACCCATTGAACTCACAGGAGAAGCACCACACGGCCAATGCCTGCCCCTCCTTATGTCAACGCACAACTGGAAATGTGCGGTGGTGTGGTTAATGTGAAGAGGTACTGTAAAGCTAGTTCAAATCATCCACGCTAGATGTTTAAGCACATGTTTAGCACAGCATCAAACATCTGCACGGGGAAACATCGCCATGATTAGCGACATCCTCAGCGACAGCCTCATGGTAAAGCTGCGCTGATAGGCTGCAGAGTATCACATTGCTCTGAAAGGCTGCATACAAATGCAAGGAGCTAGCTGCTGGCTAAATCAAGTCACAGATCAACCCCGGTTCGGCCCACATGTAAGGTTCCCCTTAGTGACCCCGAGACTACACCGAATAGGGGTGGCTCTGCTTCCGAGTGTCCGTCGAAACACAGTGCTTTATAAACTTATTTTAACAAATAAAACACGATTAATAAAAACAAAGAAATAAAGGGAAGCAGAAAGATCTGGCAAAAGGATTCACCAGGGGGCATAGATGAAATCGCTGGAGGTCCAACCGTTGAAGAACGTGGCCACTTAGGCCTACCCAAATATCATGGTCCTACTTACCGTG